CTGATTTGCTAAATATCATATTTTTAAGTAAAGGTAAAGGGGTGTGCCGAATAAGTACGTCCAGCTGAACTCTATAATGAAATAAAATATTCAAGAAAAAAAGAACATCATGTACCACAAAAATGAACCTAGAACTTCAATCAGTATGTACATCCTCAAATAACCATATCCATACAAATAGTGAACCTTATGCATAAAAATAATGGATGTTCAATAAACATAATGTACTTTATGCATAAAAATAATGTACTTCATGTATAAAAATAATGTCCTTTAGATCGTAGTTCACCTAATAAGCATGGCATATGTATATGGGGCCACGTTGACGTCACATGCAAGACTCGTGGGGCTTTGATGGATCCACCCGCACTAGGTAACGCCATAATTCATATGGAGTAATCCATTGCTCCGTGAGAAATTGCGACAGAGGATCACGGGTGGTTAAATTGTGAAATTTTAAGGACTAGGGGTGGTTAACTTGGACAACGAGTGGTTAAATTTGAAACGAAGGACCACAAATAGTCAATTCCAATGTTTTGGACTAAACGTTGTAAAACCACTATACTCGGAGTACTTAAAATGGTATTAACTCATTGCTCCGTCCTCTTTCGTCCCACTTGTTCCAACTGTAGCGGCCTAATTTGCCCTTTTAAATACCATATTCCTATTGGATTTTTTAAAAAAATTAATTACAAATTTTATTGAATAGACAACATTCAAAACCTCCTGACATAAAAAAAAAAAAGTCATAGAAGAACAGTCAAATAAACTTTCAAACTATTTTTAATTACAAAAGATTTCATATTAAACTTTCTTAAAGTGTAAGTAGAACATTTTTACATATAAATTACTCGCGATAGAAGAACAGTCAAATAAACTCTCAAACTATTTTTAGTTACAAAATTTTTCATATTAAACTTTCTTAAAGTGTAAGTTGAACATTTTTACATATAAATTACTTGCAATTCCATGACCATATATTATTATGAAACTAAATCTTTTCTTACTTTTTGTAGTTTTATGTTATTATGTTAGAAGTGGGATTTGAACCCACGCCCTCTCACGAGGACCAGAAGTTGAGTCTGGCGCCTTAGACCACTCACCATCCTGACTTCACAACTTTTATAGTGTATTAAATGTTCATCGTTTTGAATGTTTAATTTTAATACATTAAAAAATGAACATTGAACAATGGTTTATCTTGTAATGCAAATTGTGGTTGGTGTATCATGTATGTTGTTAAATGTGGAAACCTATTGATGGCAATTTTTACTGTGGATCATGCATAAAAAAAATTCACACAAATAATGAACTTCAGGTAAAGAAGAAATGAATATTATGTATTCAAATGGTGAACATAGATTTGCTAAATATCATATTTTTAAGTAAAGGTAAAGGGGTGTGCCGAATAAGTACGTCCAGCTATACTCTACAATGAAATAAAATATTCAAGAAACAAAGAACATCATGTCCCACAAAAATGAACCTAGAACTTCAATCAATATGTACATCCTCAAATAACAACCCATATCCATACAAATAGTGAACCTTATGCATAAAAATAATTAATGTTCAATAAACATAATGTACTTTATGCATAAAAATAATGTACTTCATTTATAAAAATAATGTCCTTTAGATCGTAGTTCACCTAATAAGCATGGCATATGTATATGGGGCCACGTTGACGTCACATGCAAGACACGGTGGGGCTTTGATGGATCCACCCGTACTAGGTAACGCCAAAATTCATATGGAGTAATCCATTGCTCCGTGAGAAATTGCGACAGAGGATCACGGGTGGTTAAATTGTGAAATTTTAAGGACTAGGGGTGGTTAACTTGGACCCCGAATGGTTAAATTTGAAATTCGAAGGACCACAAATAGTCAATTCCAATGTTTTGGACTAAACGTGGTAAAACCACTATACACGGAGTACTTAAAATGGTATTAACTCATTGCTCCGTCTTCTTTCGTCCCACTTGTTCCAACTGTAGCGGCCTAATTTGGCCTTTTAAATACCATATTCCTACTGGAATTAAAAAAATAATAATAATTACAAATTTTATTGAATAGGCAACGTTTAAAACCTCCTGACATAACAAAAAAGTCATAGAAGAACAGTCAAATATACTTTCAAACTATTTTTAATTACAAAAGATTTCATATTAAACTTTCTTAAAGTGTAAGTAGAACATTTTTACATATAAATTACTTGCGATAGAAGAACAGTCAAATAAACTTTCAAACTATTTTTAATTACAAAATTTTTCATATTAAACATTCATATTAAACTTTCTTAAAGTGTAAGTAGAACATTTTTACATATAAATTACTTGCGATTCCATGACCATATATATTATTATGAAGCTAAATCTTTGCTTACTTTTTGTAGTTTTATGTTATTATGTCAGAAGTGGGATTTTAACCCACGCCCTCTCACGAGGACCAAAACTTGAGTCTGGCGCCTTAGACTACTCAGCCATCCTGACTTCACAACTTTTGTTGTGTATTAATTGATCATCATTTTGAATGTTTATATTTAATACATTAAAAAATGAACATTGATCAATGGTTTATCTTATATGCGAATTGTGGTTGGTGTATCATGTATGTTGTTAAATGTGGAAACCTATTGATGGCAATTTTTACTGTGGATCATGCATAAAAAAAATTCACAAAAATAGTGAACTTCATGTAAAGAAGTAATGAATATTATGTATACAAATGGTGAATATAGATTTGCTAAATATCATATTTTTAAGTAAAGGTAAAGGGGTGTGCCGAATAAGTACGTCCAGCTATACTCTACATTGAAATATAATATTCAAGAAACAAAGAACATCATGTACCACAAAAATGAACCTAGAACTTCAATCAATATGTACATCCTCAAATAATAAACCATATCCATACAAATAGTGAACCTTATGCATAAAAATAATGAATGTTCAGTAAACATAATGTACTTTATGCATAAAAATAATGTACTTCATGTATAAAAATAATGTCCTTTAGATCGTAGTTCACCTAATAAGCATGGCATATGTATATGGGGCCACGTTGACGTCACATGCAAGACACGGTGGGGCTTTGATGGATCCACCCGCACTAGGTAACGCCTAAATACATATGGAGTAATCCATTGCTCCGTGAGAAATTGCGACAGAGGATCACGGGTGGTTAAATTGTGAAATTTTAAGGACTAGGGGTGGTTAACTTGGACCACGAATGGTTAAATTTGAAATTCGAAGGACCACAAATAGTCAATTCCAATGTTTTGGACTAAACGTGGTAAAACCACTATACTCGGAGTACTTAAAATGGTATTAACTCATTGCTCCGTCTTCTTTCGTCCCACTTGTTCCAACTGTAGCTGCCTAATTTGTCCTTTTAAATACCATATTCGTATTGTATTTTTAAAAAATAATTAATTACAAATTTTATTCAATAGACAACATTTAAAACCTCCTGACATAAAAAAAAAGTCATAGAAGAACAGTCAAATAAACTTTCAAACTATTTTTAATTACAAAAGATTTCATATTAAACTTTCTTAAAGTGTAAGTAGAACATTTTTACATATAAATTACTTGAGATAGTAAACTTTCAAACTATTTTTAATTACAAAATTTTTCATATTAAACTTTCTTAAAGTGTAAGTAGAACATTTTTACATATAAATTACTTGCGATTCCATGACCATATGTTATTATGAAGCTAAATCTTTGCTTACTTTTTGTAGTTTTATGTTATTATGTCAAAAGTGGGATTTGAACTCACGCCCTCTCCCAAAAACAAGAACTTGAGTTTGGCACCTTAGACCACTCAGCCATCTTGACTTCACAACTTTTATAGTGTATTAAATATTCATCATTTTGAATGTTTATTTTTAATATATTAAAAATGAACATTGATCAATGGTTTATCTTGTAATGCGAATTGTGGTTGGTGTATCATGTATGTTGTTAAATGTGGAAACCTATTGATCGCAATTTTTACTGTGGATCATGAATAAAAAAAATTCACACAAATAGTGAACTTCATGTAAAGAAGTAATGAATTTTATGTATACAAATAGTGAACATAGATTTGCTAAATATCATATTTTTAAGTAATGGTAAAGGGGTGTGCCTAATAAGTACGTCCAGCTATACTCTATATTGAAATATAATATTCAAGAAACAAAGAACATCATGTACCACAAAAATGAACCTAGAACTTCAATCAGTATGTGCATCCTCAAATAATAAACCATATCCTTACAAATAGTGAACCTTATGCATAAAAATAATGAATGTTCAAAAAACATAATGTACTTTATGTATAAAAATAATGTACTTCATGTATAAAAATAATGTCCTTTAGATCATAGTTCACCTAATAAGCATGGCCTATGTATATGGGGCCACGTTGACGTCACATGCAAGACTCGTGGGGCTTTGATGGATCCACCCGCACTCGGTAATGCCTAAATTCATACGGAGTAATCCATTGCTCCGTGAGCAATAACGACAGAGGATCACGGGTGGTTAAATTGTGAAATTTGAAGCACTAGGGGTGGTTAACTTGGACCACGATTGGTTAAATTTGAAATTCGAAGGACCACAAATAGTCAATTCCAAAGTTTTTAACTAAACGTGGTAAAACCACTATACTCGGAGTACTTAAGATGGCATTAACTCATTGCTCCGTCTTCTTTCGTCCCACTTGTTCCAACTGTAGCTGCCTAATTTGTCCTTTTAAATACCATATTCGTATTGTATTTTTTTAAAAAAATTAATTACAAATTTTATTCAATAGACTACATTTAAAACCTCCTGACACAAAAACAGTCATAGAAGAACAGTCAAATAAACTTTCAAACTATTTTTAGGTACAAAAGATTTCATATTAAACTTTCTTAAAGTGTAAGTAGAACATTTTTACATATAAATTACTTGAACATATATTATTATGAAGCTAAATCTTTGCTTACTTTTTCTAGTTTTATGTTATTATGTCAGAAGTGGGATTTGAACCCACGCCCTCTCACGAGGACAAAAAACTTGAGTCCAGCACCTTAAACCACTCGGCCATCCTGACTTCACAACTTTTATAGTGTATTAATTGTTCATCGTTTTGAATGTTTATTTTTAATACATTAAAAAATGAACATTGATCAATGGTTTATCTTGTAATGCGAATTGTGGTTGGTGTATCATGTATGTTATTAAATGTGGAAACCTATTGATGGCAATTTTTACTGTGGATCATGAATAAAAAAAATTCACACAAATAGTGAACATAGATTTGCTAAATATCATATTTTTAAGTATAGGTAAAGGGGTGTGCCGAATAAGTACGTCCAACTATACTCTACAATGAACTAAAATATTTAAGAAACAAAGAACATCATGTACCACAAAAATGAACCTAGAACTTCAATCAATATGTACATCCTCAAATAATAAACCATATTCATACAAATAGTGAACCTTATGCATAAAAATAATGAATGTTCAATAAACATAATGTACTTTATGCATAAAAATAATGTACTTCATGTATAAAAATAATGTCCTTTAGATCGTAGTTCACCTAATAAGCATGGCCTATGTATATGGGGCCACGTTGACGTCACATGCAAGACTCGTGGGGCTTTGATGGATCCACCCGCACTCGGTAATGCCTGAATTCGTACGGAGTAATCCATTGCTCCGTGAGCAATAACGACAGAGGATTACGGGTGGTTAAATTGTGAAATTTGAAGCACTAGGGGTGGTTAACTTGGACCACGATTGGTTAAATTTGAAATTCGAAGGACCACAAATAGTCAATTCCAAAGTTTTTAACTAAACGTGGTAACACCACTATACTCGGAGTACTTAAGATGGCATTAACTCATTGCGCCGTCTTCTTTCGTCCCACTTGTTCCAACTGTAGCTGCCTAATTTGTCCTTTTAAATACCATATTCGTATTGTATTTTTAAAAAAAAATTAATTACAAATTTTATTCAATAGACAACATTTAAAACCTCCTGACATAAAAAAAAAAAAGTCATAGAAGAACAGCCAAATAAACTTTCAAACTATTTTTAATTACAAAAGATTTCATATTAAACTTTCTTAAAGTGTAAGTAGAACATTTTTTCATATAAATTACTTGCGATAGAAGAACAGTCAAATAAACTTTCAAACTATTTTTAATTACAAAATTTTTCATATTAAACTTTCTTAAAGTGTAAGTAGAACATTTTTACATATAAATTACTTGCGATTCCATGACCATATATATTATTATGAAGCTAAATCTTTGCTTACTTTTTGTAGTTTTATGTTATTATGTCAAAAGTGGGATTTAAACCCACGCCCTCTCACGAGGACAGTCAAATAAACTTTCAAACTAATTTTAAGTACAAAAGATTTCATATTAAACTTTCTTAAAGTGTAAGTAGAACATTTTTACATATAAATTACTTGAACATATATTATTATGAAGCTAAATCTTTGCTTAGTTTTTCTAGTTTTATGTTATTATGTCAGAATTGGGATTTGAACCCACGCCCTCTCACGAAGACCAAAACTTGAGTCCAACACCTTAAACCACTAGGCCATCCTGACTTCACAACTTTTATGGTGTATTAATTGTTCATCATTTTGAATGTTTATTTTTAATACATTAAAAAATGAACATTGATCAATGGTTTATCTTGTAATGCGAATTGTGGTTGGTGTATCATGTATGTTGTTAAATGTGGAAACCTATTGATGGCAATTTTTACTGTGGATCATGCATAAAAAAAATTCACACAAATAGTGAACTTCATGTAAAGAAGTAATGAATATTATGTATACAAATAGTGAACATAGATTTGCTAAATATCATATTTTTAAGTATAGGTAAAGGGGTGTGCCGAATAAGTACGTCCAGCTATACTCTACAATGAAATTAAATATTTAAGAAACAAAGAACATCATGTACCACAAAAATGAACCTAGAACTTCAATCAATATGTACATCCTCAAATAATAAACCATATTCATACAAATAGTGAACCTTATGCATAAAAATAATGAATGTTCAATAAACATAATGTACTTTATGCATAAATATAATGTACTTCATGTATAAAAATAATGTCCTTTTGATCGTAGTTCACCTAATAAGCATGGCCTATGTATATGGGGCCACGTTGACGTCACATGCAAGACTCGTGGGGCTTTGATGGATCCACCCGCACTCGGTAATGCCTGAATTCGTACGGAGTAATCCATTGCTCCGTGAGCAATAACGACAGAGGATCACGGGTGGTTAAATTGTGAAATTTGAAGCACTAGGGGTGGTTAACTTGGACCACGATTGGTTAAATTTGAAATTCGAAGGACCACAAATAGTCAATTCCAAAGTTTTTAACTAAACGTGGTAACACCACTATACTCGGAGTACTTAAGATGGCATTAACTCATTGCGCCGTCTTCTTTCGTCCCACTTGTTCCAACTGTAGCTGCCTAATTTGTCCTTTTAAATACCATATTCGTATTGTATTTTTAAAAAAAAATTAATTACAAATTTTATTCAATAGACAACATTTAAAACCTCCTGACATAAAAAAAAAAAAGTCATAGAAGAACAGCCAAATAAACTTTCAAACTATTTTTAATTACAAAAGATTTCATATTAAACTTTCTTAAAGTGTAAGTAGAACATTTTTTCATATAAATTACTTGCGATAGAAGAACAGTCAAATAAACTTTCAAACTATTTTTAATTACAAAATTTTTCATATTAAACTTTCTTAAAGTGTAAGTAGAACATTTTTACATATAAATTACTTGCGATTCCATGACCATATATATTATTATGAAGCTAAATCTTTGCTTACTTTTTGTAGTTTTATGTTATTATGTCAAAAGTGGGATTTAAACCCACGCCCTCTCACGAGGACAGTCAAATAAACTTTCAAACTAATTTTAAGTACAAAAGATTTCATATTAAACTTTCTTAAAGTGTAAGTAGAACATTTTTACATATAAATTACTTGAACATATATTATTATGAAGCTAAATCTTTGCTTAGTTTTTCTAGTTTTATGTTATTATGTCAGAATTGGGATTTGAACCCACGCCCTCTCACGAAGACCAAAACTTGAGTCCAACACCTTAAACCACTAGGCCATCCTGACTTCACAACTTTTATAGTGTATTAATTGTTCATCATTTTGAATGTTTATTTTTAATACATTAAAAAATGAACATTGATCAATGGTTTATCTTGTAATGCGAATTGTGGTTGGTGTATCATGTATGTTGTTAAATGTGGAAACCTATTGATGGCAATTTTTACTGTGGATCATGCATAAAAAAAATTCACACAAATAGTGAACTTCATGTAAAGAAGTAATGAATATTATGTATACAAATAGTGAACATAGATTTGCTAAATATCATATTTTTAAGTATAGGTAAAGGGGTGTGCCGAATAAGTACGTCCAGCTATACTCTACAATGAAATTAAATATTTAAGAAACAAAGAACATCATGTACCACAAAAATGAACCTAGAACTTCAATCAATATGTACATCCTCAAATAATAAACCATATTCATACAAATAGTGAACCTTATGCATAAAAATAATGAATGTTCAATAAACATAATGTACTTTATGCATAAATATAATGTACTTCATGTATAAAAATAATGTCCTTTTGATCGTAGTTCACCTAATAAGCATGGCCTATGTATATGGGGCCACGTTGACGTCACATGCAAGACTCGTGGGGCTTTGATGGATCCACCCGCACTAGGTAATGCCTAAATTCATATGGAGTAATCCATTGCTCCGTGAAAAATTGCGACAGAGGATCATGGATAGTTAAATTGTGAAATTTTAAGGACTAGGGGTGGTTCACTTGGACCAAGAGTGGTTAAATTTGAAATTCGAAGGACCACAAATAGTCAATTCCAATGTTTTGGACTAAACGTGGTAAAACCATTATACTCGGAGTACTTAAAATGGTATTAACTCATTGCTCCGTCCTCTTTCGTCCCACTTGTTCCAACTGTAGCGGCCTAATTTTCCCTTTTAAATACCATATTCCTATTCGATTTTTTAAGAAAATTAATTACAAATTTTATTGAATAGACAACATTTAAAACCTCCTGACATAAAAAAAAAAAAGTCATAGAAGAACAGCCAAATAAACTTTCAAACTATTTTTAATTACAAAAGATTTCATATTAAACTTTCTTAAAGTGTAAGTAGAACATTTTTTCATATAAATTACTTGCGATAGAAGAACAGTCAAATAAACTTTCAAACTATTTTTAATTACAAAATTTTTCATATTAAACTTTCTTAAAGTGTAAGTAGAACATTTTTACATATAAATTACTTGCGATTCCATGACCATATATATTATTATGAAGCTAAATCTTTGCTTACTTTTTGTAGTTTTATGTTATTATGTCAAAAGTGGGATTTAAACCCACGCCCTCTCACGAGGACCGGAACTTGAGTCTGGCGCCTCAGACCACTCGACCATCCTGACTTCACAACTTTTATATTGTATTAAATGTTCATCATTTTGAATGTTTATTTTTAATACATTAAAAATGTACATTGATCAATGATTTATCTTGTAATGCGAATTGTGGTTGGTGTATCATGTATGTTTTTAAATGTGGAAACCTATTGATGGCAATTTTTACTGTGGATCATGCATAAAAAAAATTCACACAAATAGTGAGCTTCATGTAAAGAAGTAATGAATATTATGTATACAAATAGTGAACATAGATTTGCTAAATATCATATTTTTAAGTAAAGGTAAAGGGGTGTGCCGAATAAGTACGTCCAGCTATACTCCACAATGAAATAAAATATTTAAGAAACAAAGAACATCATGTACCACAAAAATGAACCTAGAACTTCAATCAGTATGTACATCCTCAAATAATAAACCATATCCATATAAATAGTGAACCTTATGCATAAAAATAATGATTGTTCAATAAACATAATGTACTTTATGCATAAAAATAATGTACTTCATGTATAAAAATAATGTCCTTTAGATCGTAGTTCACCTAATAAGCATGGCC